CAAAAACATCAACTCCCCATTTGCTAAAAAAACATAACAACTAAAGTCATCTTCCTTTTAGCTCAGTCGAGTAGCTTATTCAGACGTTGTGAACTCCTTTTGCCTTTGCAATACCAGCGCACCAACTAAACCCTAAAAACACCCAAAAAAACATGGCAAAATCTAGCTCTAGCCTGAAGGCCAAGACCTTAAATAGCATTGGCAATCTCATTAGAGTTCTCCCAACAGGAACAGTCTTCATTTACCAATTCCTAAACCCTATTCTCACAAACGATGGCCATTGCACCGTTGTCAACAAATACCTCTCTGGAATCCTCATTGCCCTTTGTGGCTTCTCTTGTGCGTTTTCTTGCTTCACCGATAGTTACATCGATAACGACGGCGCCACTCATTATGGCATAGCCACAATGAAGGGACTCTGGCCAACAACTTCAGCAGTTGATACAACAACTTATAAAATTAGCGTTGGTGACTTTGCTCATGCATTTTTTACTGTGATTGTTTTTGGGGTTGTGACTATTTTGGATAGGAACACTGTGGATTGCTTCTTTCCATCGTTCGAATCGACGCAGAAAATGTTGCTTATGGTGTTTCCACCAGCAATTGGTGCCATTTCTAGTGTTGTGTTTGTGGTGTTTCCTAATAAACGTCATGGCATAGGGTACCCTAGTCAAGATGAATCAAGCTCAAAGTAAAAAGATTTTATATTATTGGCTTAAAAATATTTTGTATTTATGATTTGATTGAGTGGTGTGCTATTGAGAAAAGTTTTTCTTTCCTTTTTTTTTTTGGTCTTTTTTTCTTCTTCTTCAATCAAGTGAATAATTCTTTGAATGTCGTGACATAAGGTGTATATATACATGATGTAAATCAAGAAATGGATATTACAAGGTTTGGGGTTTACTTTGTTGGATTTACGATGAGCTTATGATCTTGTAAGTGTTTGAATTCTCAGTTTATTTTTTATATTGAAACGTGATGTCTAATCGAGCAAAAATCATATATATCAATGTAGCTAAAAAAACATTGTTAGCTTATCGCATTTGTATCTTCCATGCTTTTCGATATCATTCTTATAGTAATAATGTGATATTACATTGAAACAAAATTTACATTTAAATATTATGTGTTCGTAAATATATATATATATATATATATATATATATATATAGACACGCATTTCCACAATTTGTTATATATAAACTTCCTCAAGTAGATAAACTCTATTTGTAAAATTATGAAGAAAACATGAAAACCTAAATAAATCTTTTGCAGCAGCTTCCAAATACTTATTCTTCCATTAGCATTAAATTTCTTTATAAATTAAAGTATTATTGAAACAGATAATTAGAAGTGTTCGCAACAAATTTTCGTAAGACAAAAAATAAACTGCAACAAAAATAATATGAAGAAAAAAGTAATTTTATTGATAAATATTTGTGAGTACAATTCTATGTATCCCTTGATTCTCCTCTCTAAAATTCTCCATGATTCGAGGGCTTGAGAAGCATCTTTCTCGAATGTAGGATGATGCAAACCTCCTTGTGATGTATTTAATCGCCAAGAACGTCGAGCAACACTTTGTTGTTATAGGTTGATCTCCGGGAAGAACTCCGTTGATCACTCCTTTGTTGAAGAACTAAGCACTTGATGATTGATCTCTCTGTTTGTGGATGCCTTCACCAATTGCGGAGTGTTCTTCTCCAACTCTGAATCCCCCTGAGAGTTATGTAACCCCTCTATTTATAGTTAGACAATCCACCTACATAAGAACTCTCTTCCTTGATTCTGATTGGCCCATGTCATTTTAGTCATTTGGCAACTTGTGGTTGGTTCTTGCTTTTTGACTTGAATTGCCACATCATTTAACATGTGGCATCATCTTGTTGGCTTTGGGTTTGACTGGACATGCCATGTCACTTGCCACATGGCATGAGTCTGGGCCTTAAGATGAAATGGACCTTGGGCTTGAAAATAATAAAATGAACTAATTTAACTTGTAAAGCCCAAATTAATTATTTAACCCAATTGAATTTAATCCAAATTTTATATGGATTAAACCCAATAAATTTTATATGTCTACAAGAAGGGGAAAAAAAAAAGGAAATGTGAGTTAGAGATATATACCTGGAAGCAAGAGGAAGCTATTGCTTTGCTTCCCCGCAATTCAAAATTTTAATGACATATTATCATGACATATATAGTGGATTCCTTAATTTCCAAAGCTTAAAATGGAAAAGCACGTTTCTTGAGAGCTACTGATACTCATAGATTTAATGTATTTCTCTTTGTTGAAATTTATTTGTGCCTCAGAATATGGTTTCTAAGTTAAGTAGTAGTAAACTTTTGTAGCGTCAGCCTGATGTTAGTGCCAGCATAGTGACACAATTTTACCAAACTAGATTTTACTTGTACGCGTAGTCCTTTGCAATTTAGAAGAAAATACTCTTACAAGAATTTTTTTTATATTATTTTCAGATCTCTTACGTGTAATAAATTTTTGTGCATAAAATTTTTAAAATTAGAAACAAAATTATAATGGAATATAAAACTAGTTGACCCGAACTTCACATGACTCTGCATATCATGTGCTTTATTTTTCTAAGTAGATTTAGGGTACGCACTTTACGCATGTACCCCATTTTCATGAGTAATTTTTTCAAATTACATAATATTATTTTTTTTATTTTTAAAATCACATAAATATTAAGTTAAAAATATATTTGAGTTATAAGAAAAGTTTAAGCTTATGAAATTGATTATTAATGGATGATGAGCTGCCTTGATAACTTCTGCCAACTATCAATTCAAACTCTTAATAAATCAAAATCAAAATTAATAATCTCTAGACAGTGCCCAACTTCAACAAAAAACAACCTAACATCCATTTGGAATATAAAGCCGAGTAAAGCCTTTGGTACATACCTTGGCTTCCCAATACTAAACACAAGTCCCAAACCAAAAAATTACCAATTTGTCATTGACAAAATGAGAAAGAAATTAAGTAGTTGGAAAGTAAAGTGGCTTAATACATTGGGTAGGTGCACTCTAGTCTCCTCTACTCTAAATACAATCCCAAATCACATCATGCAATCATCTATGTTACCTGAGAAAACTCTTAGGGAGATTGATAAAATTCAACGAGATTTTTTATAGAACTCATCCCCTGACAAGCGAAAAATTCATATGATTAATTGGAATACCATTACAAGGGATAAGTGCATGGGAGGTCTGGGAATAAGGAAAGCGAAAAGTAAAATTCTTGCTCTGCTCACAAGCTTAGTATGGAGAATGATAAACAATTCTAATTCCCTATGGACAAAGGTGATCTCAAGTAAATACGCAAATACTAGGGGAAAACCTTCAACTGCTCACACATGGAAAAGCATCCTTAGAGGATGGTATTATTGCAACATAGGTACAAGATGAGATACTAACAATAAAACACCCTTAAATGTTTGGAATTCCAACTGGATTCCTAATGTAAGGAACCTTAGAAAGGCGATCGCAGGCCCCTAACAGAAAATGAGGATAAACTTACAATAAATCAAATTAGGAAGATGAGTAATGGAACTAAACAAAAATTTCATTCGATCTCCCAGCTCAAATAATTGATAACATTAAGGCTATCATATCTCCTAAGGAAAACATTTCGAATATTAACAACATATGGAGTCTGTCCTCAAATGGCCTATTCTCGACCTCTTCATGCTATCAAATAATTAACGGAGAGGAAATAACTGATATTGATTTCAATTGGATCTGGAAATTATGCTACCCAAAAAAAATCAAAATCTTCATTTGGAAGTGTTACCATAATAGACTCCCTACGCGATCTTACTTAACCAAAATAGGTGTGATGACCCAAAAGGTCATCACTTGTTTTAGAACTAAATTCTGTGTTCTGAGGCCTTAAAACCTCCTTTTTATGTCACCTCGATGTGCGTGTGCAGTCCGGGCGTGTATCCAGAAAGCCATTATGTAAAAATCTGTGAAAAATAATGAATTTTGCTTTTAAAATGAATTTAGGTTGACTTCGGTCAATATTTTGGGTAAACGGACCCGGACCCGTGATTGAACAGTTCTAGAGGGTGCGTAGGAAAATATGAGACATGGGCGTATGCCCGAAATTGAATTCCGAGGTCCCAAGCCTGAGAAATGAATTTTTAAAGAAAATTATTTTCTGGAATATATATATGAGTTTTGGAAATGAAATATATTTGAATTTGATGGTATCGGGCCCGTATTTTGGTTCCGGAGCCCGGTATAGGTCTTATATGTGATTTAAGTTGAGCCTGTAAAATTTGGTAAGAAATGAAGGTCATATGACGTGATTCGGAACCTTAGTTGTGAAATTTGAAACTTTGAAAGTTCTTGAGATTTCCTTTGATTTGATGCTAAATTCATAGTTATTGATGTTGCTTTGATGATTTGATCGCACGAGCAAGTCCGTATAATATTTTTGGACTTGCATGCATGTTTGGTTTGGAGCCCCAAGAGCTCGGATGAGTTTTGGATAGGACACAGAATGAAATTTGGACTTAGAAAATTGCTGGTATATTGCAGATCTCGCAAATGCGAGCTCGCAAATGCCAGAAAGTGTCGCAAATGCGAAAGTCAACCTGGGCTGCCTTGGTCGCAAATGCGACTTTTGTATCGCAAATGCGATATCGCATTTGTGAAGGGTTCCTCGCAAATGCGAAGGTGACCGAAATTTCACTTGGTCACAAATGCGACAAAATCTTCGCATTTGCAAAGTCAACAGGTTTTGAAGGGGATTGCAATTGCAAATCCTGGTCGCAGTTGCGACATCTGCGACCCGCAAATTCATTACTTAGCAGAAAATCTTTAATTTTTCAAACTCTTTCAAAACGTAAACTCTCTTGAGCGATTTTCCAAAGAACAGTTCTTCTCCAAATCGATTGTAAGTCATTTCTAACTCGTTTTCTTCAATCTTTAATACCTTTTCACATGATTTCAACTCAAAATCAAGGGTTTTCATAGCGGAAATTGGGTGTTTTGGGTAGAACCTAGGTTTTTAAAATTTTGAGGATTTGGACCTCGATTTGAGGTCCGATTTCAAAACAAATTATATATTTGGGTTCATGGGTGAATAGGTAATCGGGTTTTGGTTCGAACCTCGGGTTTTGACCATGTGGGCCCAGGGTCGATTTTTGATTTTTTGGGAAAAACTTTAGAAAACCTATTTTTATGCATTAGAATTGATTCATTTAGCATTTATTGATATAGTTAAGTAAGTTGTGGCTAGATACGAGCGAATTGGTGGTGGAATCAAGAGGTAAAGCGGTAGTTGAGGCTTGAATTGTGTTCGTGGCATCGAGGTAAGTGTTTGGTCTAACCTTAGCTTGAGGAATTAGGAGTTGTGTCTTATTTGCTATGTGTTAATTGTGGAGTATGACGTATAGGCATGGTGATGAGTATCTATACATCAGTGTCAAACATGCCTGTGGGTCTAGTATTGTAATTGTTCTGACTCTGTTGAGATTTATTCATACTTAATATGTTGATTATCATTGTTGGTTCCCTTGCCGGGATGTTATTGTTTATGGTATTGTCTCCCTTGCCAGGATGTTATTATTATGACATTGTCTCCTTTGTCGGGATGTTATTGTTTACAATATTATTTTCCTTGCCGGGAAGTTGTTGTTATACTCTTGTTCCCTTGCCGGAATTC